GCGTCAGGCCACTCGTGATGCACATGAGCCCATACATCACTTTAGATTGTTCACTGTAAGATTAAATATCAATCGTTTTCATCTTACAATCTCGTATTGTGGTTCTAGCGCGAAAAATAACGCTCAAGTAGAGCAATATTTTTCCAGTCAACTGTGATGCTGCGAGACATCGCCTCGACAGGCAGACAAAAAGACGAAGTTATTCAGTTATTCAGCAAACTTTTTCTACAGCTGCATGAAAATATGGCATTTTAACGTATACAATATGAAATTATGAACCTGGTTAACTCTGAATCGTAATTACGCAATGGTTGATTTGAAAAATATATAAATATATATTATCTCATAAAATTCTAGAACGTGGCCGCATTAATCTTATTTTTTGCAATATTGCAATGAATTGAAATTCTAAGTAAATTTTACTCGAACTGGTCCTAATATAAAATATAAAAAATTTATATTACATAACTTCTTAAAATAACGTCTTACATCAATACAAAATATTATATTTTTAAATTGTTACTTCGACTGATATACGTCCAGTTAAGAAAGTATTGATGTAGCCTAACTTGGATTGTGACAAAAGAAAAAAAGCATAACTCTGACTAAGCAGGCAGATTGGAAGCATGAAAGTCCAGTTGTTGAAAGTCCAGCAGAAAAAAGCAGCGTGGGGGTACATCCGACTGCCATTCATTAAGTGAAGTTTGGAGCAACAAGCTCCACCTTATCTTGCTCTGTTTGCCTGCTTGGTGCAAGCACGCCAAACGCAGCCCTGTTTCTGATGCGGAAGCTAAAGCTTTGGCAAGCAGCCGTTACTGAACCGCTACCTTCTTTTTCTAGCAGTTTTTGCGTTTACGAGAAAATATTTCTTCTTTCCTATGGTGTTCATTTCTCCAAACGGATTTGCGGAGTTTTTTAGGTGCTGTGATTCCCGCGTTTTCTTAATCCAAAATTTGGCAATACATATAATTTGAACGGATTGATTTTAATGAATATGAAGTGAGTATATAGCAACAACTTAGTAATAGTTGAATGGATAGATCTTAATTACCAGGTAGTTTTTAATAGCCAAAATAGCATGATAGCATGAAAATTATGAGGTGGGAGTTACTTCTATGATTCAGACGAATTTTGTGTTATTTTTTCGCAAGAAAAACTATGACGTCGGTGCTGAATGTATTGCTAAATGTAAATGTAGAATCATGTTGTGACATGCAAATCATCGCAGAAATCCGTGCAGAGAAGTAAGGAAATACCACGTTTGTAATAACTGAATATGAATGAGGGAAGTCTCGACAAGTTCTTATCCTTGAGCAAAGATGGAGACTTGTCTTGTGCTGATATCGCCGCGGCCTCGTGCGTGTGTTGCAGCAGTCTAATCCGTGCGTGCTTTCCAAACTCGGGATTAGTTTCGTTTAGAAGAAACAACATTTTCAGAAACATATAAGATTTAAATATGAAACACAAACTTTGATTTTGATACATATATCAAAGATATTTGATATATGTATAGTGTCTTGTGGTGTGGCATGAATCCGTTTAAGTAAATTTTAAATTAAATTAAAAATGTATGTCCATATCTTGAAAAATAGCGTAACAGCACGTGGCATTACGCGTCGTGTGTTTTTTGTGGAAATGCTGCTAGTTAGTCACGAGAAATTTTCATATTTCAGTAAATAAATTATACCAAACTCATCTATAAATTTGCGCAAGAAAATAACTCGCTGGAAGCTATATAAGTTAAATGAAACGATTAAATAATCAATTCGGAATGCAGCTAGATTATTTTTTCTTCTTATGCATTTTTAATGACTCAGAAAGATGCAATAGTAGCAGGAAGGCTACCAAAAAAATTTATTACTCACTATATATAGTTCTTCACTATCTCAGTACGTCGATTGTCTTTTCCTGGTTGACGGATTCAAGATATTCGAGATTTGTTGCATGAAGTTGATGCAACAATGAATTTTGCAATTAAAATAAATCTAATTTAATTTCTTCCACACTAATTTAAAATTTGATTGATTTTTTATTCAAGAATAGCTTTTCAAAGCGTATGAATTGCTTTTAAATAGTGAATTGTTAACGTATAGACACAATAACATCTAGAAAGAGCGTTTCAAAACCTTGTTGTGACGTAGATGGAAACAGTTTTGTCTTGAAAAAAGTTTATTACATCCATACATATTAAACACATATTCCCTGACATTTTTCATCCGATCTTCACTCGAGCAACACAACGACCGCCTTATGTAAGTGGTAAAAATACACATTTAACGCTAGGTATCTAAGGAGGCCTGATTATACAATAAAATAACAGAATTTTTGAAGATTCGAACATTGTACGGTTAGCGACCAAATTTTTGAACAATTTTGTTTTCAAAATTCTAAAATTTTTGAACAAAGAAGGTTCTAGAATTAAATTTATCGAATTTATTCAATGAATTGATGTGATAATATTTCTGATTCTCTTTACGTAATATAATTCTTTTTAGTGGCTTGTGGGTTACGCATGTTGAAAAATTATAGATTTTCTCACACCAATTTGGAAAAAGAAAACAGGAAAGATATGCCTAATTAATGCAGAGGAAAAATTAAAACAAGGATTGTTGAAAATTACATTTTTAAATCGAATTCTATCAATGCAATTTGTCACCGTTCGATAGTGGATTAAGATGCATTCATCACGATGGCAGTTGTCTTCTACATTTAACTTGATATAGAGACTCATGGAGGAAGCTTTCGGTTTAATACTGTAGAGCGCAGGGTGCTGTGGTTTTCCCACAAATGAAGTGGAAATTAGTAAATTACTAGTAGATAGTAAGTGAGTTTTCTTGTATCGAGGACAATTGTTTGTTAAATAAATGGTAATAATTTAATAACATTTATAGTTGAAAACCGAATTCTTATTAAACGGTTTTTACTTTAACATTGAAATCTTCGTTATCATTTACTTCGATGGAACTCACCCGATCTTTTCCTTCCTATGGTGAATCCATTCATCTAAAATCAAATTTTATTATTCTCTCATAGTTCAATTGTATATTTAACCTGAAATCCAGAACATGCGTATCCTAGTAAATTTACCAGGACAAAGAAAGCCCCTGACGTTCGTCATCTCGTCTACAGCATAGATGTATTATAACTGTAACTTGGGCCATAACTGTTACTATGCCACTACACCGTTAATAACGTGTAAATATTAATCGTAAAGTCTTCGTTAGAAGTGTAGTGGCATCTTTATTTGAAGTCTGTCATATATGATTCGGTATGCGAGAAACGGATAGCTATATTATCAAGAGTTTCCATTCAATTCCAAAGTGTACCATCTCGTGAAGTTAGAGCTTTTTTATCCAGCTACATAAATATAGTAGTTCGTCTTTTTGTAAAACGTTTTCTTTAGCTTACTTTATTTCACGCAAGTAATACTGCAGAATATCTGCATAATAAAAATAATAATTTCTACTCACTAATATTGTACAAACGTCACTAATTTCTTCGACGGCTAACGTCGTTTGCCGTTCATTATCATATGTGTCCAAGTGAGATGTTCCTCTTCCGGATATGTTTTTGCTGATTTTTGGGCGTTTGAAGCTTAATTTTAAATTAACTATGTTCTGAAGAATATGGATAATTTTCCAGCTACAGGCACCAAAACTATTTAAAGAACTTAACTAGAATTTAGTTTCCGTTTCACAAAATTTTGACTTTATAACTAATTTCGAAATTGGTGTCACACTGATATCCCATGTAATAAATGTTTAAATTTACCTCATCTATTTAAATTTTTGTACACTCTGCGCTTGGGCCTCTCATTTTGAAGAATTTGTCCGGTATTCAACAGTCGCTCAGAAAAACATTTTTAATGCTACCAAGATGCACAACGTAAATATTTTCAGACGGTAGTTGCAATGATAATTATCCTATGCTAATAAACTCGATGACTACAACCTATTTCTGACGCTCAATATATTTATGCATCACACTCATACACATTGATAGACTTGCTCTACGCATATTTTAACATGCATCTCATATGTTGGTTAAATAGACCTCAAGATCCTGTCCAAGGCACTCGATTTACATATCTTACAATTAAAACATAAATAAAAATCCCACAGAAATTGGGCTCTAGTGTGGAGGAATATATGCATACTATGCACTTTCAACTGTGTTGGAAAACTGAGCGTTAAAGTTATATAATGTCCACTTTAGGTAGATATGGGAAAAAGGGGCCATTTTTAAACTGATAAATTTTCAATTCGGGATCAAAATTTTCTTGTGAATTCAATTCGGGATCAAAATTTCCTTGTGATTTGATACATTTTGCTAAGAAATATTGATTAATTATTTGTTACATCCATTATTATACAAATAAGGTTTGTAATGATAGTTAACAATATAAACAAGCGGGAAATAGGAGACTATTTGTCAAAGTAAAATCCCAAAACAACACAGAATAATTTAAAAAATCGGTTGATGGATCCAATGTGTTGCTTTCATGCAATCCTTGATTAACGATTTTCCTTACTCTTAAAATCAAACTAAAAGGCAATATAAATTATCTGGCAATGGAAAGTTTCCGAATAAATTTATATTTGAAAAGTAAATATGAATTCGAGACTGACTTAATGTACACATAGAAATACATTTATGACTTCCGTGAAAAGGTATATCTTTCTTCTCTGTTTATTGAAGTCTCACTAGCATTCAGTTGGTTCATGAACTCATATTACTTGAATTCACATGATATTTTGGAAGTTTTTACGGTATTTTATTTGCCATAAAATATTCCTAACGAGATTCCGGGGTATAAATTTTTCGAAGTAGCCATTGAATTTATCGAACGTCTTTACAAGCAGGCCAAAGAAATAAATATCTTATGGACAATGAAATCAATTTTATATCACTTTGAATATTTTCTATGAATGTTCGTAACATATTTCTCGAGCATCAGCTAATGCAGACAGGAGCACAGAAGTGTCATTTTCAGCGTTGTTTTCCGGTGTTTGTATTTGGTTCTCAGAGTCTGATAAAATTTGAGGCTGAGGTTGAAGCGAACAGTCGTTCTCTGGCTGTTCCTTCTTAATTGCCAAGTTAGACGTCCCGTCATCTCCGTAGTAACTTTGTTGCGCAGTCACGCTCTGAAAATACCTTGGGGATCGAAGAGAAACTTTGTAAAATAACGGATTTATGGTAATTATTACTTGTTTTAATTTACGGAGTGTAAGAGGTGTCTAAATGAACAGACATCAAATAGTATGTACTGCAATTAATTGAATTTATTTTTTAATTATGCGTATCATAACTTCAAAAATATTTGTTTAGACAATTAATTACATTCAGGTCGTACATCATGAAAAAAGTTTAGTCTTGTATTCAAATTCAGTCCCTGTATAATTCCTGCCAAACATAAAAGGCTGCGAGACGCTGCTGATTTATTTAAATTTTCTCCTAGGAGAATATAATTGCTTAAATATTTATACTCTGAAAGTATAAAAGTTCCTGAGTTTCTGAGTGTTGTAGTGCATAAACTTGTCGAAAAAAATTATTTTTTTTTTATAAAGAAGCCCGCAAAATCTTTAAGTTTGCCTGGAAATACATTATGATAATTTTTAACTTGCCTTAGTTCCAACTTTTCAACAAAATAGTTTATAAAACAAATGTTAATGCGACCATTTTAGTATCAAGATTAAAACTGTATATTTATGTGTGCCGTCGATTCGATATATTTGTAGATATTAAAATACATTTTCGCCAAGCAAACTCGCTTCGATAAAATGAATAACAAGTAAACTATATCTGAAAATGGTTCCACGATCTGTCAATGAAACGAATTCAAGTCAATATATACAATGAATTTTGCAATTTTTTATATAAATCGTGACGTGTGTACTGACCTGCCAGTAGAAGCGCAGGAATAGGAGGCAGTGTACGAGGTCCGATGTTCCTCGCCTTTAAGATAAATGCCAAACTCAGAACGGTCCAAATCTGTGAGCGCCTCCACCACAGGGTGTACTACGTTGTTGGTCCCTCCGTCCGCAAGGGTCGCTCCTGCCGACAGCGGAGACACTCCTGCACTCGCGTCTGCTCTGCCGTGCACTTCTGGAGTCGTGTCGCAAGATTTCACTTCAATTCTGTCGCCTGTACCACATGGGATGGAAAACGACTGTCAAACCACTGGAATTCATGCACCCAATAATAATTAATTTAAATGACTCTTGATTTACTTTAAAATCTGAAGACTGTTTGCTATTTCTCTAATAACGTACAGCATAAATATTCGTTAAAATAATTTACTATAATTCAATAGATTTTTTGTAATTCGTCAAGAAATTTTTCGGCTAAAGAGTGTAAAGGAAATTTTCATTTTCACTCAATTTCATTTCTTTTTTCACTGACCTGCGTTATGAACGAAGTGCTGCATGTTCTGGGAATAACATGATGGACTCGTTGGGTATTGCTGAGCTTCGTATGGAGGCAAGCTCTGATAATAAGCTTCTTGCGCCCCTTGGTAGTCTTGATATTCAAGTCCCATGCCAGTGTAGTAATTCTGCTGGTAGTGAGTGTACTGAGGGTAGGACTGTGGTGAGTCTCCTGGGTGAGTCATCATGCACGATTTGGCAGCGACCATTGATCGGTCGTCTGCGGTGATTTGCTGTTGCTGCAACATGTATTGATGCTGCTGTTGTTGCATCTGATGTGATTGATACTGAGAGTGTTGTTGGGTTAGGTGAGACTGTTGTTGTTGTTGCAAGTGCTGTTGTTGCAGCGTTTGTCTTTGGATGCTTTCCTGTTGCAGTTGATGGGCTAAATGCTGCTGAGATGACATATGTTGTGGAAGGTGTGCATGCTGCAAGTGATGATGCATGTAATGCTGATGATTTTGCTCTATCTGTTGATTGATACTGTGGTGCATCTCGCCGTGATGTTCATGGTCATGTGGGGACGCTTCAGGGGGAGTGGGGAGAGCAGCAAGAGAGGTTGGGGTGAGGCTAGGAACCGTCATGAGGAGACCTGGAGGAGGCCATCCCGGCTGAGGACTGCAGGTTGGGGAATGATCCGGAGTGTGCAGAGATAAAATCTTAGGACATAGAGTGTCTGGGGTGGACGCTGCGACATGACTCGAGTTTAAAGGGGTGGCCACTTGTGCCGTCAAAGTCGCCTCCAGTAGACTAGGTTGTTCCATTCTGATAGTTTCCTCTTTCTTTACAACAAGCACTTGGTTGATGGTAGTCGTGGTAGTAATTGTTGACTGGGTCTTTGGAGTTGCCGTTGTCAGTGTCTTCGTGGAACCGTTCAAGGAGCTCCCCGAAGAAGCCGAATTGTTTTTCACGGACATGCTAACTCTGCAGGAGTTACCATTCACCTGGTTATTGTTATTAGTTGTGATTGAATTGTTATTGTTGCTGTTCTGGTTGGCATTGCTGCCGTTGACCTTCTTCACCTGCGGCTTCCTCCGTCTTGGTCTGTACTTATAGTTTGGATATTGTATCATGTGCTCCACCCGCAGCCTCTCGGCGCCTTCCGTATAAGGTCTTCGCAACTCCTGAGGCATCTGCTTCCAACGTTCTCCTGCAAGATGATTTTAAAAACGCGCGTGAATAGTAGTAATAGGCATGGACAAACGGAATTGCTATCATCTGAATAGTGACCGCAGAGACAAATAATAAATTCTATCCAATAATAATATTAATATTATCCAATATTAATGAGTCCAAGAATAGTCATGTGCATGAATAAGCTGAAATGCTTCTACCTCCAAAGTACGCAAAGATAAACAGAATGTTATTACTTGAATAGTGATATACAAGCGCAAAGACAAATGGAATTTTTTTCCCATGTAGAGTGATGCATAAGGACAAAAAAGTGCTATCACCTAATAATGTTATTTCAAAGGACAAACAGAAACTCTTTCACCTTTGAACAGGCTGATTTGTAACACAGCTTGCACCGGGTGCAATAAAAGATTAGCTTGGCAACCTTTATAATGAAGACGGAAAAGCGTACTTCATCAACAGTTGGAGAGAAAACTAGCAACATAATGAACTTGTAAATCGCATTTATGATAATTGTTGATGAATAAAAAGTCCTTACACGACAATGTGGACAAAGAAAAAGTTTCCTAATACATGACTTGAAGTCGTAGGATTGGCATTAATCTTCATCAATAATGTAAGCTTCAGAGTTTTAGCTTACTTTTCGTGGCACCTATTCATTGGATAGAGCGTTCGAGTTGACCTAAAATTTATTTACTCAACTTCCCTGAATCTTGTTATTTGCTCGGTGCTGAGTAGGAGTCCATGCATGCCTTCTTTTTTAGTTGTAGTTTCGCACAGAGAGACTATGTATAATAAAATAAAATTTCATAATACACTCAAATAGTTATTCTGCATCGAAATATTTCCGACGGTTAGTTTTGACCACGTATGGCAACACAGTCACACGGACTAACATGAGTGATGGGCAGTGCCAAGCTTTCGGATCGCTTGGTCACATTTCATCGGTTGTGACGACCAGAAGCACGGCCGCTGATGGCCGTGAGATTGCCGCGCTCACGCACCATCTTCGCACTCTCGATTGCTCGCACGGAGCTTCATTTTAGTTCGTAATTGCAAACGTGATACGAACGCGACTGGACACGTCAAGGCAATTCTACAGAATTTTAAAATTTGCCCAAACTATACAAAAATATTGTACGGAATATTAATACGTACAAGGCAAAGTCAAAAATGATTTGTAGAAAATTTTAACGCGATTCATTCCAGGTCAAAAATAATATTCAGAATATTTTAGTGTGACCGATAAAATCCTAAATATTGTAAGCAATATTGTAATGTGATCAAATAAGTTTTCAATATTTGACAGAAAATTTAAAGGCGACGATTAAATAGGGAATATCGCACGGAGCATTGTGACAAGAAAACGAATGAGAGAAAATTCAAGTCTTTAGGCAGGTGCGTAATGAATTGGACTCGTAAACGCTCTTATTATAACAAAATTTGACCACAAATTTTTTACTTATAAAAAGTTACTAAGCCAGCCATAAGTGAAAAAATATGCACAATCGCACAAATGAATTTTGTACGCCATGTCAGTTTTCAAGTTGCTATTCGACGAGTATTATCAACTTATTCGTGTTTCATTAATTTTCATACATGCTGCAAAGGAATGTTTAACTGTTTTTTGTACACCAGACTTCTGATTTTGTATACAAACCAATGAAATTATTTTCATAAATAAGACTTGCTTACAGTAACTGTTGGTCGAAAAATGTCAGCATTAATTAGGCTATGATGACCAGCCAGTAGATACTTTGGGTCGTTCGAACGCCTCATAACATTGAAGAACATGTCTGCGAACATGACTCGGCATGCCAATGACGTTTTGGCAGAGGTAAATTCTTTGCAGAAATTTTCACAATAAATCCGAAATTGTGTCTTAAGTTTTGAAAAAGAAGGTGATAATTTCGATAACAACATCTGTGTAATTAAAAAGCTTTAATGTCAAGCCCGCTTGAATTAAGTCGCTTAATGCTTGTAACTCGCTAATTAGAAGTAAGTGAAATAAATATTGACAACAAGTTAAATTCCGCTATTATATAGCAGACCTATTTGCTTTGCCCATTAAACGTCGCAAATGAATTAGGGTATAGAAAGTTGAATCTTTCACGACGAGTTTACGTAATACATCATGAAAACTATGCGGGAAAAAGAACAATTAAAGAATTTGCTTTGCTTCTACGATTAAGGATTGCCAGCGATATTATTGAAAGGGTGAGTTCTTCATAACATGATTTAAGCATTTTTTTATAATTAAGGGCTGCTTAAGCCCTATCTTCACATAATGAAATCATTATGACAGATGCTGGGACTGGAGCTGGGCTCCTCTTACTTCATGACGAAATCATAATGATTGATGCTAGGTCCAGGATCACAAGGTCACTAGGCCCTCTCACACCCTCATGATGAAATCATTAGGAAAGATGCTATAGGTCCAATATCAAGACCCTCATCCCATACCATCATAACGAAATCATTATGATCGATGCTTGATACAAGGCTGAGCCTCTCTTCCCTTCATTGAGAAATTATTATGATCTATGCTAAGTCTAGGATTGAGCCCGGCCCTCATACCCTCATGATTAAATCATTATGATAGATGCCAATGGTTCCAAGGTCGAGCCCCTCATCCCATCCCCTCATGACGAAATCATTATGATCGATGCTAGGTTCATGGTTGAGTCCCTCATGACGAAATCATTATGAGGTGCCTCGCTGGTTACATTACAAATTAGTTACAGCCACAAGACGTGCCCGTACATTCGCATAACATCCAAAACCTCGACCGCCCGATCGTCCACCCGCATTTTAGTAAGCAATTATATTTTGTTTTAAACTTCCTTCATGGGACATGCGCAAATCCCTGCAAGCATAGGCACCAAAATCTTATTTGTGAATTGTTTTTACTATACCAATTCTGTGTTATACTCTGTTGAATTAATTTTTCAGCGAATTTTCTATCGTTCGTGCGTTAATTTCAGAAGAGGTAATTTTTGAATTTATAAATTAAAAATTTTCCTTCAGCTAGATTGGAAAATTATAATTTTAGGCTTAATGTATAGCAAATAGAGTAATTATGATTAGGGATATCTTTTTCTCGAGCACACTGTCCATCTTCACTCACTAACAGACGTGAACGTTCACACTCCCACTCAAAGACAAATGCGTTCACTATCTTACTCAAAAACATGAGCGTGCACGCTCTCACTCAAAGACATGGGCGTTCACACTCTAACTCAGAGACATGGGCGTTCACGCTCTCACTCAAAGACTCGGGCGTTCACGCTCGCACTCAAAGACTTGGGCGTTCACACTCTCACTCAAAGACTTGGGCGTTCACACTCGCACTCAAAGACTTGGGCGTTCACACTTTCACTCAAAGACTTGGGCGTTCACACTTTCACTCAAAGACATGGGCGTTCACGCTCTTATTCAAAGACTCGGGCGTTCACACTCTCACTCAAAGACATGGGCGTTCACACTCTCACTCAAAGACATGGACGTTCACACTTTCACTCAAAGACATGGGCGTTCACGCTCTTATTCAAAGACTCGGGCGTTCACACTCTCACTCAAAGACTTGGGCGTTCACGCTCACACTCAAAGACTTGGGCGATCGTACTTTCACTCAAAGACATGGGCGTTCACGCTCTTATTCAAAGACTTGGGCGTTCACACTCTCACTCAAAGACATGGGCATTTAAAATCCCACTCAAAGACATGAACTTTTTGCCCCTCACTCAAAGACATGGGCGTTCACGCTCTTATTCAAATACTTGGGCGTTCACACTCTCACTCAAAGACATGGGCGTTCACACTCTCATTCAAAGACATGGACGTTCACGCTTTCACATAAACGTTCACTCACATGGAACTGCGTCCGTCTTCAAAATGTGCCTCATTCTACAATGGGCCGCTAATTCAAAGTCACCAAGGAAACAAACAAGACAAGCTGTTGCCTTGAAGAGTCCCTTTTCACGAAATATCAGACGCCTTCTTCGATTATCTGCACAAAATTGGCAATTAGCGCAATTAGAAGAACGAGCAGGTTGTACTACTAAAATCGCCTAAAAAATTTTGTTCAAAAAGTATAAGAATATTCATTTTAGTGGTCCTCTTTAACCTAATAAAAGTATTTTAAAGATTAATCGCAAAAATAGAATTCAAAATTTTACTTTCGACTGAATGAGAGACATTGAATATTATGGCGAGCCCCTTTCGAAATATAATTAATTTGCAATTTGCGACATGAGCGAACCTTAGAAATGAATTTCGGTTGTTGTTGTTGCTGCTGTTATTGGCGCGGTTGTTGTTGTTGCTGCTGTTATTGACGCGGTTGTTGTTGTTGCTGCTGTTATTGACGCGGTTATTGTTGTTGCTGCTGTTATTGACGCGGTTATTGTTGTTGCTGCTATCATTGACGCATTTGTTGTTGTTGCTGCTGTTATTGACGCAGTTGTTTGCGCTATTTTTGTTCATGTTATTGTTATTGTGCTTAGAGCGGCTAATAGTGTAATTTTAGTGATGGGTGCTATTGTTACTCTTCCATAGAATGAAATAACTGCAGGTCTTTTCGTGACTAATTTTTCTTTTATCTCTGTAACTAGTAAAGTTAGAAAATTTTTACGGTCAATTATTATACCAAAAATAGAAAATTAAATATTATATTATACATCTGAACTGAATTTTTTGTTCTAATTAGATGTTATCGTAGAAGTTACAGCGGGGCAAAATATTCTCGGGAGTGAAGCGGCCGGTGGCCTTAAAGCCAGAAGTGGACGAGGCGTGGAGGAGGCGTGATGTGGCAGACGCTATGGTCTTTAGGAGCCAACTGGCCGTTCCTGTGCAGAATTCGGGACTCGGAAAAACACATCGGGCGTGGGACTTAGTGAGACGGCAGGCCTCAACAGCAAATTCTTCAGAAGCAAATTTTACGATCAGTAATTAAAATGAAAATACTTGAATGTTATTACGAAATGAATCATGAAATGAATGAAATTGAATTTTATTGTG